AATAATATAAATAATATATATATATATATAAAAAACCTACTGATCAAAATCATACAGCAGAACACTATTATTATTATTATTATTATTAATTATTATCCAAACATTTTATCAAATTAATATAATCAACATTCTAGAGAATTAAAAGACAGGGAATGTAGATGATTAAGATAATGCAATATAGGCTTCTATATTTAGTTATATAACACTAAATAAAAAAAACTGAAATTTGTTTGTTTATATATAGCAGATTTGATGTTTAGAGGAAAATCTCATGTACTTCTATAACAAAAAATTAAATACAGTTATTATATAAATTTTAAATGAAACATTAAAATTAGTTAATGTTTATTACATATTACATTTTATATGTAATAAACATTTTTGGAGGAAAATATACGTCTGACTATATCACAAATATATATATATATATACAGTCAAACCAAAAATTATTCAGACACCAGATATAATTTTTGATATTTTTTTACTAGTGGGTGCAGGACACTATAGTTCATTTATGTAAGTGAGGATAGCAGAATAAAGTAAACTGTGACATATTATACCCAACAATTCTTCATACAGTGGACTACCAGTAAAATTGATAAAAATTTGGGATCAAAAATTTGATTTGACACTTTGACCTGACCATGTTTTGTTACATACCTTTCTATCAAAGTTATCTGACATTATCAGATGATTATGAATTTGTTCTGACACAGTTTAACTTTTGAATTCTTGTCATATTTTATTACCATTTTCTAAACTATAGCAAATAGACTGTGATAATGTGAGAAATTTTGAAGGTGTCTGAATAAATTTTAGTTTGACTGTATACACATACATTTATATTTTCATTTAGAATTAAATTGATTAAATTAAAATATTTCATAATTTAAATTATTTATAATTTGATACATATTAAATCAAATTAAATGCACAAAACTGTCACTGTTTAATTATACCTATGTGTTGTATTTAATATCTTAAATGTAATGTATTTTGACCTTTTGATCAGTATTAGGATCATATGAGCAGTAAAAGTCCTGATAGGAGCATGTTGGCAGATTATTTTCAGTGCACTATGATTTAGGACGCACTTATCCCGATCTTTGTTCGAGAATTTGTTTGAGCGAGGCTGATAACTCTGATCTGTTTCTCTGTAGGTTATGGGACTCATAAGTCCAGCTGGAGTTTCTCATCAGACTCAGGCTGAGTTTTCTCTGTCGTCTGTCAGCGGTGCTCTGGATTCGGGTGGATCGGTCAGCAGCAGCTGCTCTCAGCGCATGGAGCCCCTGTCCAGTCTACCTGCCCTCTCCAACCTGCCCAGCCCACAGTCCTACATCCCACCCTCCTTCTACAGCATGGAGCACAGCGCCCCCTACCAGTACAGCCAGTACGGGCAAAGTAAGGTCATTATTACTGTCAGACTACTTCATCCTTCTTATTTGACTTATGTGCTTCTTGTTTGTGTCTTAGCAAGTCAGTTAGTGAGTCAGCGAGTCTTAGTCAGTGATGTGCATTTATATCTGGACTGCGTGTGTTTGATTGTGGCTTGCATCATTTGCTGATAGTACACTGTACCTGTCTTCTGTGCATCATTTTCTGTTCACTCTTTACCCTTTTTTCTCAATAAACATTGTAAAAAGGCCAAAAATACAATTTAATAATTAAAAAAAAAAACTCTGACACCATAAATTAAGCTCCATGTAGGTCAAAAACCATAAATGAGCTTTAACTGTCATTATTAAATTCTGCGCAAACTATTACACACACACATATATTATGTAAACAAAAACTTTTGTTTTGGATGCAATTAATCGCGATTAATCATTTGACAGCACTAATAATAATAATATATTAATAATATTAATATAGTTAAATATTAATATATATTAAAATTCAATTGTATTTATATATTCATATATTAAAATATGTATAAAATAAATATATTATAAAATAAAATTATATATAAATAAAAATATTTTACTATATAAAGTTGTTTTAATACCTATAAGTTGCTTACCAGCAGCTCTTAAAAACAGCTTTGCCCGGTATTATTACATTTCGTGAATACTGTACCAAATGTATTAAAATTTGTATATAGTTACATATTTATAGATTGTATTTATATATTACAATATAAAAAAAACTAAATATATAATACAATTAAGTAATATCATATATATATTTTATAATAATCACTCATTGCAACAGTTTACGGCTGTCAATAAATTCAAATAATTTACACTAACAATCTCAAAATAAGCCTCTAAATTTAGCATAATGATAAAACTAAATTAAATAACGTTTATAATAATGTCTGTCAGGAAACTCAACAACAGTTTACTCTCTGATTGCTAATATTGCATTAGTGAAAAATAGCCAACAGGTTATATATTTCGTATCTGTATTTGTATCTGTGTTTACAGCTGCGAGACACAAAATACATTGCTACAAGTCATCACTAAGTTAATCATTACAATTTTGTGAATGACTTCAAATCTGAGGTGATTCCACTCCAAAATGCGGTTTGTTCATGACCTGAACAAATAATAAAAGGTTACAAGGCTTCACACACACATCAGAGGCTGGCTGCAGTACATGTGACTTGCTGATACTGTAATATCTGGAGCGGGTTTGTGTGTGTGTGAAGGTCATGGTTGGATCCTAATCTCCTGTGGCAGGATCATGATGAGAAGCAGCTGCGCTTGTCTAACTCACTATCCACAGCTCGTACAGTTACGCTCGGATTAAATGGACGCTGCACAAAAACAGCAGCTCTTTAATGAGTCCTTCTTAAAAGAGGCTCAACGTTTGCGAGCCTGATTGCTGTGTCAAATGGACGGCACATGCTTTCTTTTGGAGTTCAACGGCAGCAATAAGTCATGCAAACATTATCGGAACAAATATTACTATTAAGACGCATATTAAATGTGAAATCATTTAACATTATTAATAAATTATGCTCTTTACATCTGAATTTCTTTCAGATTCCTTTCATTATCTGAAGCCTGAAATCGCCTGAACGGGTCGTGCAGCTCAACTGTCCCAAGGAGTGTTGACATAAAGTCCCAAAGTCCCGGAAGGATGGTTTTCTACAGAAGAGAAATGCAGACGGAGATACAAAACTCTTGGCAATAAAAATAAAACTTCTTTACCACTGGATGGCACAGCCGGCAGATCAAAAGATCTCAAACATCGCCTTGAACTCTTCTTCAAAAGCCCTTCCAGCAGAATTATCCACAATCCCAGAAACACAACAAGACAAGCTGAATCAAAACAAAAAGGAGATGTTTTTCACTGAGAAACATGTTGAAGTGCAATATGAGAAATGGCCATATTCATACGAGACATTCGCAGCCACTGAGAGCCGTTCTTATGGGGCCAGACGAAAGCGCTGGACTGTAAATAAAAGACAAATGTTTTATAGCTGACAATGAACTTTTCTCATGCATTCCTTGACATTTGAATGATGTTTTTGTTTTTTTAAATGAGGGACGACTGGAATATTATACAGTATTTGGGAACTTGGGAGTTCAAAATCATACTTGTTTGAGTTTACATCTCATGAAATAATTCCTATAGCGGTGCTGTGTTAAAAGGTGCACTGTGAAAATGACTTTTTATTTTTAGCATTTGATATTATCTGATATGTTTAAGACTGCAATATAAATTTGGTCATCCCCAATAACACTTAAAACCTTCCTAATGTTGTTTTTCTTTCTTGCCAAGAGATGGTAAAAAACTAAACGTGCTAAAAAGTCCTGATAATACAGCCACAACAGCTCTGGATGTTTTGTATTAATTTATTTTGTATGTGTGTGTGTGAATGTATATCTGTATCCTCCAGATATTTTGCCCAATTAAATCATTCATTGTAAGATTATAAACCTTGTTTGTGTGTGTGTATGTACTGAGCTATATAAATTTGGGAACAAAACCTTCATTTGGAAGCTTCTGCAGATGTTGACAATTACTAAATTTATTTATAAAGCTAATATGACTTTTAAATTAAAAAAAGTTTTTAGGGTTGGCATGAATGTTTTGAGTTTAGCATGAAGTTTAGGTTTTGAAATAGTTGTTATAGTTAACTAAACCTAAAACTAAAACCATAAAAAAACTCAAATAAGCACAATAAAAATAAACATTTAAAATTTAAATATAACAATTAAAATAATAAAATAAAATATTTTATTTTATTAATGATTAATAATATTCCTAAACTTATTTTATTTCAGCTGGTTGCCATTTTTCTTTTTAATTTAGTTTAACTTAATACTAAAATGGTACTAAAATAACAAATAAAAACTATATAGACATTTTTTTTTTAATATTAAAAAATGACAAAAACACACAACAAAATGACTAAAAATTAACCTAAAATTAAAAAGAAAACACAAAATATAAAAACATTAATAAAAATCAACTGTATGTCATTAATACTGAAATAATACTAGTCTGTGGTCATTATAACAAATTTTTACATAAAAACAACAGAATTTAGCACACGGGTGTGATCTCTCACACATCTGTCTGCAGTCACAGCTAACGCTTCACACTTTCCAGGAGGATTCACGTCTCTGTTCCTCCTCAGCTGATCAAACGCTTCACCTGTGCCCTAGCGAACACTGAAAACCTCCTCAAACACCTCTAGAATAACGGACAGGGAGACAGATGCTATTTTAAGTCACTCTTTCTTTCTTTCTCTCTCTCTCAGAAGCTTCTTTTGACCCTCTGTCTTCCTCTGTAAATGCCAACCTTCAAACAGCGCCCTCTCCTTCACCCTGCTCCATCATCTGAGGGGTCAAAGTGCAAAGGTCACAGGTCCGGCACATGTTCATCACACAGAGAGACAGATGAAAATAAAACTACAGTCTGATCTGTTTTTCATCTGATCCTCAAACATGTGTCTTGACTTGATTATGCTCACAAATTTGTGCATCAGTTCACTGTAACATTTTCAAAATGATATGACACATTTATGGAGGACCAAACCTGCAGAAATGGATGGATGGATGGATGGATGGATGGATAGATAGAATGATAAAAAGAATGATAGATAGATAGATAGATAGAATGATAAAAAGAACGATAGATAGATAGATAGATAGATAGATGATAGATAGATAGCTAGATAGATAGATAGAATGATAAAAAGAACAATAGATAGATAGATAGCTAGATAGATAGATAGAATGATAAAAAGAACGATAGATAGATAGATAGATATACAGACAGACAGACAGACAGATAGATAGATAGATAGATAAAAAGA